ACAGCTAAACCTACAAAAGATAGGACGATGTTCTGCTTGTAAGGCAGAACTTGGAATGCATACTATATAGCCAATGTCAACCTGTGACATATAGTAGGTACATAAGCTGTATAAAATAATAATTAAACACCAATTGACACAGGACTTTCTAAAATTGATTGTAGAAAGTGCTTTAATGGCTCTATCAAACCAGAGCAAGCGCTTAAATTATAATAATTGCTATATAATACGCTTATATAAAATAATATTAACGTCAACTCTTCGTTAACAGACTCTCTGGTCAAATATTAAAATAATGATTATTTAATAAATAAATCAAAATAATCATCTATACTATGCTATCATCATAAATTAATAGTAGATATAATTATTTATATTAATTCATTCCGAATTACAATTAATACCTCTATTAACGCTAAGTATTGCATTGAAAGCTCATGACCTGCATTATTTACAACTAACCAATTAAATCAATCAATCCCTGTATTAACCCCTATTAATTACTTAATTACTTTATTACTAAAACAAACTACCCTTTTAGCGCCGTTGAAACCGCGTTGCGCTTACTAGCTTAAGTGTCTTGCTACTAACCCGACTATTAAAATATTATTAATTAAATTAACTTTCATTGAAAAAATTATCATAATATCTTTAATTACTATTTCGTCCCTAACTAAACTAAACTGGTTTAATTAATAGCGTTACTATTCCTAACCAACCTATCTAAATTAATACTTGCAAATTTCCTTATAACCAAATAAACTTCTAAATTCTTATTTTTTTCTTCTCTTCTTTTCTTTTAATAAATTTCAATACTTTTTAGCTATAGTGAAATTCGATTAATAATACTATACATTCCCCATCAATATATTCTCCTTTGTTGTTTATTACTAAAATAACGAATTTATTTCTATTAGTATAAAAAATTTGTTTTCTTTTTTTATTTACAATACATACATCGTTAAACTCTCCAATTACAAAAAACCTTAATTTAATATTACTATAAATTTCTTTAATTAAAAAGTGGTATACTAATTTAATCCTATTTAACTATTAAAAATCTACTAAGATATTCAAGAATAACAAGATATATATATAAATACATAATTAATATCCTACGTTACTTTAATAAACTATCAAACTACTGCTACTTTTACGGCACTGGTAGACTACCACATCATTAGGCTATGTTTTAAAAGGATACATGTAACCAAAGCTAGCAATTCAGTTGGTCAAGTAGTCTTATACAGTTGTGATGACAGTTGAGAGGCACAACTGCAAGGCTGCTATCACAATTAATCCTATACCCTACTAATTTATTTATAATTACTAACTTTCTTCTTAAATAAATTCCCCAAAAATACAAACCTGTTATTTATTCAATATTCTTTTATTTCTTTATTTCTTCCAAACCTAAAATTACTTAAGCACCCTAATTACTTTCAAAGGCTTTTCTACTCAAATTTAAAATACTTTTACTAATTAAATTCTCGGCTATATAATCATAATTCCTTACCGAATTAATAAACATTAAATAGCAATAGCGAACTCCTAAGAGGAAATGTACTACAGAACTTACTAATAATATCTTCAATATTTCAACTATTAATCGCTAATGAATTAAAGAAATTAAATGAATCGTTTTTATTTCTAGAATATTTTAAATCTTATAATTTCCCTACCTTCTTCCTTGTTACATTCTTTTAATTTTAATCTCCACTATAATAACTATCTTTTTTTTATAATTACTATTGCAAATATCTTTTCGTACGATCTTACCTTCTACTACTTTAGTTTTTTATAGCCTTTATATATTATTAAACAACTTTCTCAATTTACTAGCCAATATCAACCCAAAAACTACTATAGTAAGAAGTACTACCAACCGCTAGAGCGTTACTGTCGCAACTTCACTTTCTGAAACGCTTAAAAAAAACCTAATTAAAAAAACCTCAAGGAAATCTACAATTAAAGAATTAATTGTGAAGCTGTAAATATATTTAATAAAGAATTTAATTGAACTTTATACTAACATTGATGTTACGTATAAACAATCTTAGAATTCAAAATAATTCGTAGTCTTACTAAAAACAACAAAAGACCCCCAACTTATTAGAATATCAAAGTAATTATTACTACAATCAAATATAAGTAGAAATTTATAATAAAACGAATTGATAAGTACCACATTTCTAAAGTGGGTAATAAGATTTTGAAAGCCTTCATTAAACAAAGTAACGTGTTAATAAAAGGACAAGTATTAATAACGTATAAATTCACTTACATTCTCGAATTTAGTATTTAAACTACTATAATTGTCACAGGTTGACATTGGCTATATAGTGTGCATTCCGAGTTCTGCCTTGCAAGCAGAACATCGTCCTATCTTTTGTAGGTTTGGCCGTCCGGGCATATGCACCCCAGCCTGTCACAATAATTATTATAATAAAGAATTCCTCTAACTATGAGATTCGTAAGAAGAGCAATATAAGTTTCATTTTTAATAATTACATTCCTAATTTTTAATAGAATTTTAAAACTTTTAAAAGTTGGTATATTAAAGGCTATATTATAGGTATTAAGCTGAAAGCTAATACAAAAATATATATTGCTCCTATTTATGGCGTATTTTAATATAAAACTTTTATACTACTTTATTAAAGCTTATATAGTACAATTAAAACCCTTATCTTTAACAAATCCTTTAGTTTCGGAAGATATAAACGTATTAGTATTAATATCAAAACCTTTTCAATTCCTAGTATTTAATCTACGAAAAGAAAAGATTTCTTTAAATATTTTAATATAGCAATTAATTTATTACAATCCGCTAATGTCAATAAAAAAAAGATTGGTGGCAATAATTTTGACGTTAATAAAATACTAATAAAAATAGGAGATTTGAGCCTATTAATACTAAAAAGTTCGCTACTATTAAAAAGTAAATTATTTGTCACAGGTTGGCATTGGCTATATAGTATGCATTCCGAGTTCTGTCTTGCAAGCAGAACATCATCCTATCTTTTGTAAGTTTAGCCGTCTGGGCATATGCATCCCAGCCTGTTATAGATTGATATAGGACTTCCTGCAATTGACTATAGTAAGTATCTTAACAGCTCCGTCAAAATAGGGCAGGCGCTTAAGTTATAATAATCATTATATAATATACCTATATAAGATAGTGTTGACGTCAACTCCTCGTTGACGGACTCTCTTCTTACATATTAAGATATTTATTATTAAATAAATTAATCAAAATAATTATTTACGCTACGCTATTCTCATGCATCTCCAGTTTATATAGGTGCCCAAATAAGATTTTAACTATAATACTGATATAGAAAATATTATTAATCTACTGTAATTTACACTAAAAAGAAACAATGGCGGCGAAGTTAACGTTATTCCCAGATTATCATCATGTCAAATATCGTTATTTGCAGACTTGACTATATACAGCTAGCAGCGTATTATTATTGTAGAGCAGCAAAAGAGTAGACGCCAGCCTATCATTCAGGTAGGCCGATTTTCCGTGCAGTCCTAAAAAGTGGTTCCCTTGCTGTTTTGAGGTGTGATGAAGTCAGAAGTGACCAAAGCGAGCCAGGATTACCAAGATGGACCATCATGGATCATGTCGACGGGGATGTGCACAACGACAGCCGATGCGATCCGCATTCCCCGTCAACCTACAGCGGGTCCACCCACCTGGTTTGACTGCCCTGAGGTTGTTTCTGTTTCGAGCCCAGCCCGGGCAACGCCCAGGTGAGCTTGGTGGGGCTGTAAAATACCTGTCAGCTCGTACAGAATACATATTACGGGATATACATACCTTGATTACCGTACGGGATCATGACCCCTACGTAATTGCAGATATTCGACAAATGTGATATGGCAGTGGCTGACAGACACCAACAAGTCTAGATATCTCCGAAAGAAATATATCCCGGCATCATCCCAGCATTGTAATCCGTCTTTGGACAAGTGGTGACACACATCACAGTTGCGCCTGCATTCGCTGAAGCCCACAACGGCAAGGAAGGTGCAGGGTTGCAGACCGAGTCCTGCGAGCAGCCCGGGCGTGTCCAGCTCGCGCAGCCAATAGGCAAGGACGAGCGACTTCGTCTCATAACTTTCTACGACGTTACTGACTGACTAAACATCATGTAGGCAAGTACTTCCCTCAACCTAGGCATGTAACTTCCACTTCTGTTGTCTACCTACGGCATGCCGACACGATTGGGCCTCCATCGGGGACGGAGAGAACCTAAAGAAATTCAAAGAAGCGCTCCTTCCAAGTGTGAATCAACAAACCATGCTTCCATAAGGTATGGACAGATATCAATCAAGCCAATGCCTGTCTGCAGACTCATTCATCGCCCTGGTCCTTGCTTCCACTCTTAGCGAAAGAGCCAAAATCCAGCTTTCTGGCCTCTTCCTGGCAAAGGGAGCTTTGTTGCTCCTGACCCATGCCTTACCCATCCCAAAGTCCCAGCCAACATATCATCACGCACAAAGCCCCAACCAGATGCCTCCTTTGGCCGAGAGGGGGTAAAAACTTGCCGGGATGTGTCAGGACCTGGACAGGACAACAAAAACGCCACACCGTCCCATCACTTTTCCTCGATCACTCTTGATGCGCCTCATCTCTCTCTAAAACACACGAGGGTTTCCGCCCAACGACCGCCGGTCCTGCTTCTGCCTCTGGCGGCCTGCGAGTGTGATGTGGGCTGCGTGGTTTCCCTGCGTCCGTCTCTTTCTGGTATCGGCCAGCCCCCAACCCCAATAAATATCCGTCCCTCAAGCCATCGCATCGAAACAGCCTCCTCAATTTTCTCCTTCCGCTCACTTGCAGATGAGGCGACCTGCAAACTTGGAACCAACTAGTCGACGAACTGCAATGGCACACGACAGCAGATGGACCGCGACCCGTTCGTTGGGTCACTTGCCAACCAGCATAGGCCTGAGTATCATCACCACCACCACCAGCGTCCATCTAGAGTCTAGGCCATGACTCGAGGTTGCCAGTTTGGCTCAAAAAGCTGACTGACATAGTAGTATTGGTCCTCGTAATCTTCTCTCGCCAACACTCGTTCCCAATTTGATTCTGTTCCAGAAAAAGAAACATAGGTTAGCCACCAACTCACATCTGCCATGTGTCGTTTGTTTGATGTTTGGAACAAGGTGTGTAGGTATGTGTGCAGCATCGTCAGGTTGCAACTTACTTTGCTCAGCTACTGACTGCCGGGTCTCGCGCACGAATCGCATGGCGTCGTCGTCAAGCTCAGCCAGACTTTGGAGATCTGGATCTTTGCATTCTGCAGAAAATGGGTAGATCGCCCGGTTGCAATAGTGGAAGTAGGCGAGAAGCGTATTCGCTCCTGTCAATGACCCGCTTGTCAGTTATGCATTGCATGGCCACATGGCACAATATCCATGAACATAGATCGTGGAAATTTGGGCAAGTAAGGCAAGCAACTCACCAATGTTGTACTCTCTGACGCTGTCTTCCCTGGCAAACCGTCTCCCCATGTTGTGCTTTTTGGCGTAATCTGCGTCATGTCTGGTAATGAGGGCGATGTTGTGTAACAGGATAAACGTCACCAGATACGTGGTAAGCCATGTTCTCTGCTTCTTCTCCTGGGTCATCTTCTGGAGCTCCTCGAGCGTGTCTCGGCGAAGCTGGGGTTGGACCTGATGGATCAGAATGGAATCAATCTGCGCTCCCATGACAGGAGGCAGTGGGATCTTTCCACACAAAGGGCTGTCCGGGTCATTGATGATATCCCGCGGCATGCCCAGCCTCTCCTCCCCGACGATTTCGAATGACTTGGTCGTCAGCCTCACGGACATCCAGAGATCGAGCGTGCTCTTGATCAGCCTCCGTTCGGTTTCGTGCGTGGATGGGTCCTGCATAACCTTAAGCGCAAGAAAGTATGTACGTTGGAGAAGCTTCTGCTTGCGAAGCAGGTAAGTGCAGCAGCTTCCCAGTGCCCGCTTGATGTACTCGTCGAACGAGCTCTTGGCGGATTCCATGTCGACAATGGCAAAGGCCGGGACTCTGGCTTTCTTGACCTCGCCATTCTTGGAAACCCACTTCCTGTAGAGGCTGTCCCCAGGCTGCGGTTCGAACTGACGGACCTGAAGCTCGATCCATTTACCGGTATATCCTTCTGTGACTCTGATTGTCCTCACTTCCGAAGAGACCCAGTTTCCAATGTCGTCTACCACGCTGTCTTTCCAGCGCTCGGTCCATTTATGGTCCTTCACCTGCCCAGGCTTGAATAGCTTGACGTCCATGATCTTCCAGCGTAGACAGTTCAGCCGGTAGATCTTGGTGGTGTTGGCCGCAATCTTCTTGCATCCCAAACAGGGTCCTTTCTCATCTTCAGGATCGAGGTTGCACTACGTAAAGCAAGGACCTGTGTCAGCATGGGGTGGACCAATTACTCAAAAGAAACAGAGAACGCAACTAACCCGAATTCGCTGCATTCGGCACCTGATACAGCTTCCGATCTTCCTAGTGTGAGCTGTTTGTTCACGCTGGTCGTGGTTCTTGAAGGGGCCACGTCTGGCCGAGATGGTTCTTGGATGGGGAAACATGTCAAACGCTGTTGATCGCTGCTGCATTTCGTATCTCATCGCATCGTTCTTCACGCCAAAAGCTTGCTCGCCCATATAACCTTGATGTATACCCGGAATACTCCCACTCCGGCCATACACTGAAGTGTCTAGTTCTGCTGGATAGCTGTTTGACATGAGCGACGTAACTGTGGGACTCATAAGATGCGGCTGGGGCACTCGAGCCCCAGCACCTGCAACTGCTGCGCGAGAGCTGTCAGGTGAACCATCGTAGTTGGCGATTGGTGAAGTGGTGGGATAAATCATCTCCTCTCTGGTCGCCAAAGGCTGTGCTCCTGTTAGTGGAGTGGGTTGGAGTGGCGGATAATTGGCCAAAAAGGGATCCCCAATCGCCGGCCCACCACCACCTGCGAACAGTGATACCGGCTCTGATGCCACAGATGTCGAGCTCATGGAGACGGTGGTGGTAGGCTGAAAGGATGCCACGCCATCAACCATAGCTGGCCTGAGACCGCCATACTCATGCTGTGTGGTGGATGGGAGGGGTGAGTATTCTGGAGCCACGGTCAGTCTTCTCGGTGGTATACTGTCTAGTCCCTGCCAGCACCTGCCAACATACCTGAAGGGCCGACAAAGCTCGAGAATGGCTGGCACAGGTAATCCTGGAGGCAGCTTGCTAATGGCCCGCTACTCCAACCTGACGAGAAACAGCCAGGCTCAGCAGCAGCAGCAAAGACAGCGAAAGGCTTGCGGGACTCATTGTTGGGATCATGATTCGATCGCCCGCTGGGTGGCGGTTTCTCCTGACTTTCCTCATGTCCAGATAGATCGTCCGTATACGGTGTTGACATGGCGAGTGGTGGCGGATCGAGACGTGGCCGCTTGTGAGAGTGGGACTGCAGCTTGGTGAGTTCCAGAAGAGTGCCAACTGGGACCTCGAGGCTTGGTGCGGCTTTCTCGAGCAACAGTTGCTGTTGTTCTGGACGATGCAAGTTCAACAGGTCATAAAGAGATACTGTGATAGTCACCTCGATGTTGGGGGCCTGCCTAAGTATATACTGATTTAAATTGTTGTTGACCGGCAGGTGCTGCTGCTGCTGCTGCTGCGGCAAGGGTGGGGTCTGCTCAAAACATCCAGCGGCGGGCGAGGATCGATGAGGATGAGGAGGGAAGTCCTGGAGCACTGGCTCGGCAGGCGATTGCTCAGGGCAGTAAGCCCGGCGCTTCCTTAAATTAGGGTTCTATACAAGCATCATCAATTCACCGCACATCGGAAGAACAAAAAGGGCAGCTGAGAGAATGGGGCGCGCACAAAGAGGAGATGCGTCAGGACCGGTGAGGCAGGCCATGACAAGCATGGGGAATCGGGGAGGAGGACTGGATGTAGGGGTATGGGGTTGGATGACCCGGGAGAAGGAAAGGGTGTGGAGGTGTATGTAATGTATGTATGTACGGTATGTGTGTGCGAATGTGATGGGGGAGTGTAAGTTGAATGGGAAGAAAACACTCGACGGTCTAGCTAGCAGGCCACAGAAGAGGATCAGACATGGAGATCTTCATTCTGGGGCCTGCCATGCAGCCTGCCGCGAGCCGAGAAGGAAGAAACTGGGTCTCTCTTACCATGGTGGATGAATGAGACTGTGGAGGTATGTCTGACAGAACGAGAGACACGGGCAAACGAGGATTTTGGGTGGGTGTACTTTGTCGAAAGGTACCGCCGGGTATACCGTATTAGGTAAGGTAGGGTAGTAGGGTGAAATAGAAGCACGGTGGAAACAAATGACATCCAGCACTATAGGCCCCCCCGGTACCGCAGCGTAGAATCCAAGCAGGCAAGGAGAAAGGCCGTTTCAGTACCAAGGTGCACCTCGGGGACCTTAGGGAGTGAAATGAGGTTGCGGAGACCGGGCGTCCTCACAGGAGCGCCATCGCCCCGGAGAGAGCAGGCCGTAACGATGAATCAATGGAGAGCTGCAGACGAGCGTGACCAAGAAGAGCGAAGGATGCAGCTGCGGGTGTCAGAACCGGTAAACCGTTGAAAGGGAAAATGAGGGAGGGGTGAGAGGAGAGTGGAAGGCAGATGGTGAGGAGTGGAGGTGCCGGTGAGGAACCGGGAGGGTAAAGCAACCTTGAAGCGAGCTGTCTGTGGACGGTAGCACAGGTTGCTCGCTCGAGTACCGCCAACCCAACGCCCTTCTTCCCCGGCTCTCTTTGGCCTAACACCACGAAGCCAGGTGCTGCCGCAAATAGGCCAATGCCTGTAGAGCTCAGACAGACAGACGGAGGCGAGTGGTCAAGCCTGTGAGCCGACGACACCCAGACAAGGGGAAACGTCCAGCAGACAGACACAGGTTTCGGCAGCAAAGATCTGCAGCCAAAATCGAGCCGAACTGCTGTCCAGTTCCAGTAGTGGTTCGAGCGGCGATGAAGGCGGAGGCAAAGTCCCGAAGTGAGCAGACGGGGTAAATTAGTGACCCCGCAGGCAGGTTGACCGATGACGATAGTAGATGAAGATGATGTCCGCGGTGGCCGTGAGGTGAATCGGCCGGTGAAGGCGCTATGCTGTGGTGTTCCAACCCAGAAACGGCTTGGCGGCAGGACGGTGAGGCACGAACAGGAACGCCAGAGAGGAGGAGTCGCCAACTGAGTTTCGGGTATTACCTCTGCTGTGTCGGGTAGCAGACAGCAGGTAGTGGTAGATGGGAGGAAAGGTACTTGGGCGAAACTTTTTTGGCGCCCAGGGCGGCTTGTCTCACGGGCGCAGACCGAGCTGGATCCCCAGGCTTAATGGCAATGTCGTCCGGTGGAGAACCAAGAGTCGGCGGCGGGGGGTTTTCCAGGTTGAATGGACGCCTTTGTCTCGTAGTGGCAGCGAGGGATGAAATCGGTGAAGGTTTGTAGGAGATGAAGGGGAGAAGAGATATTCACCGGTCGTGGGGAAGACGCGAGCTGACCACGTTTTTCTGGCGCTCGGCAGAACCAGCCTGCTTCCCGACACGACCTACGGTACGGGATAGGTAAGATCGGTGGGACAGCTTACATAGATGACCCCGGGCTGGGGCCTATCTACAGTAAAAAGAGAGATTAGTCGGTAGATGGGACTGGAAGGAAAGGGAAACCGGAGTCGAGCGAGCGGAATAAGGCCCTCCATGGAAGGCAAGCCGGTGCCCATGTTCCAGGTTGCGCAAAGGCCGTTGGACGTTGCAAAGAGCAAGGTCTGTATGGGGTAAGGCACCATGGGCACCGACAGTCCGACGCTACCCCTAGGTAGCAACGCGCCCAGGGTCCTGGACTTGACGATGTGGCTCTCAAGACACTTTGTCCCCCATCCATCCAGTTCATCTCACCACTCGCTCCAACAGAAGTCCGCCCCTCCTCTAGCCTCCTGCGCATCTGTCGCACAAAGTAGGATCGTCTCCCCGTTCCAGGACAACCATTTTCCGAGGACTGTCTCTGGTGGCTAAGGCGTTCGGGTCTCGGTCTCGCACTCTTTTCCGGGCTCCAAAATCCCACAAGGGCCAGAGGCTGAGAGATATATAAGAGGCGCTATATGCCTCATGTTTGCAACGTCCATCTGACGGGGCACAAAAGAAACCCCAGCATGTGGTTTAGGTACCCGATCGCAAAAAGAGCCTCGAGATGACTTTTTTTTTTTACGATCAACAGGTGTGTCATGGCACCCCTGGACGGCCAAGGGTGGTTGCTGGGGGTCACCTCAGCGCTAGCTTCCTGCAGGAAACAGGATGTCTTGCACCAGAATCTCTCAGGAATGTTCTCTTCCAGGCCTTCTAGCCAGGGTGCCAGGTCCTCAGCGGGCCAAGACTGAGGATTCAGCAACGTGCAGTCTAGTCTCTAGAATCTTTCTGTGCGTCCGAGCATCACGCCAGGCTATCGGACATGTTCCAGCTTTTGTCAACGAGGAGGAGGAGATGATGACGCTTGAGAAGGAGATTGTCACATTCCTCCCGAGAGATCTTTGAGGTGACATGGCCGACAATGCTTGAACAGCTGACTGACCACTTGAAAATCGGTTAGGAATAGCATCCTCGATCTGTCATTCGTCACCATATTACATGAGTCGCATCGCATCACCTGGATAACCAGTCGTCGTCGCCCAAATACCTGAACACCGGCAGGCAACCCCGTATCGCCGAGATATAATATGTCGTGCTTACTATAGGACAAGGTTGTCAAGCGCGAGACCGTCGGCATGGATAAAAAAAAAAAAGGCTGGGGAGCCACGAGCCTGTCGATTCCGAGCCTTTTGCACACACGCAATGCGACTCCTCACCATTATCGCCTGTGAAGTTGTCGGCTCTGGAACGATAGATATCTGGCTGCTATCATCACCACTTCACCGAGTGAGGGATACGGGCAAACGGCACGCTGGCTCGGAGTTGGCGATGGGATGAAAGTCATATCAGTCCAACATGCCACATTCGCTTGCTGTCACCAATTGATCTGTCATCGAAGGGGAGAAATGTAGACTTATCGGATGACTGAATGCAGGGGCAGGAGATGAATTTGCTGACTTTACTCCTGGCGACCGTGGCGCACGGACGGTCGATCATATCCGAACACTTGCCGATGATCTAGTGTACTACACCTGTGTATGTCGTTCGCATTGGTGACGGGACTCAGGAAAGTCCCCTTTTAATAAAGTCAATGGCAGAAATGCTCAGTACTAGGAACCTTGATGGCCGAGCCCAGTAAGGCTTTGCTCAATTTCCAAATGTACCCGCGTCTGGTGGAGTCGAGACAGCCAAAATCCATATTTTGCCGGCTTCCAACCTCAAGTCGCCTACGGGCAAACCGTGGGAGTGGGACAAAGTGCATGGTTGCCTGCCCAGAAGACTGTCGGATGCGGGGCACAATGCGGGGAGAAAAACGGGCAGGCACGCAGTATCCGACATGGACTCACGTGGCAGGCCGGACCCCCCGACCCCGACCACTCTTGGGGTCCAAAAAGAGTGGGAGGCATTAAGGTACCTTATTCATCCTCACTTTCTTCAAACCGCCAGAACCGCCAGAACCACAGCGCTTCCAACAATGGGAACAATTGACCCGTTCGCACTGGTCGATCAGCACAAAGTTGCGCAAAGTGCGCTTGCGAGATGAAAGTGCTCGTCTTCGTTGAACCGGCTTGTCGGGTTTCCTACCGAGTCCCCAGTCTTTACACGATTCGATATCAAACATATTGAACAGCCTACGTATTTCAACAACCTAGCCTTGCGACCGGCCGGGACAACATTCCCTCCGCTTCTCGGCCCTTCTTTCTGACAAATAATTGCAACGATGTCTATCGTACGACCACATCGCAGTTTCCGTGACCCAACATACCGTTCGTTGTCTGCGACGGTTAGGGGTCTGGACTATTATCGGATCGAGGAATGAAGTCATCACAGACAAGGCACACCTGCAGTCCTCTTCGCTAACGCATCTCATTCTGTTTTCGTCTCTTCCAAGGTCCGTCCGTTCGACGTGTTGGCCTGTTGTTCTCACCCCAGTGCTTAGACTCGTTTCACCAGCTTTCGGTCTGTCTTGGTTGATCTTACCGTCAGACCGGTTTGAGCTTGAAGGAGAGTGGGAGCTCGTATGGTGACATGGGTCAATGTTGTTCTGTGGTGTCCATTAACTCTATCTCGATGAACCGTTGACAGCTACACATCTGGCACCTCGATATGTGACAGGTCGATTCTCACCATCCAAGGAAGTGATATCACGGATCAAGTCTCGTGATACGCTCTGCCACTGCATGTGAGAGCAGGCTGGATGGCATTGGCCAGTTGTCATGGTGGTTTCCGTCGATTCCAGACACATCAGTGGACGTCCGCTTGAACGGTGCGGCGCAGATCCTCACGGAATTGAGCCGGCGGAGATAAACGTTCAAGAACCAAAATAAGGGACATATTACGTAAGACGGAGTTTACACATATCATCTTTAATAACCAACTGAGCCAAGTGTTGCCAAAGCAGAGATTTACGACCGCTGCAATACCACCAAGCTCCCGGTCCCACGTGTTCGTCAGGGCGGACCAGAGCCTCTAGCTGAAAACACTTCCATGCACGAGGAGCAACTACTGTTTGAGTAAGTCGAGTGTACGTAGAGCTCGGTCTCAGCTACACTTGACTCAACTTCATGGGATGTGAAAGACCACCACCGGACAATGACAACAAATGCGGTGCGTTTCTGCCACCCGATAGACATCGTTTGAAACGCGGGCTGCAAACCAATCACTTTTAGGACAACACTCGAAAGGATTTTCGATCTGCTCCTGCAGTGAAGCCTGGCCATGAGTTTCAGAGATGCTGCTCAAGTTCGAAATATGAGCTTTTGTCATTGGACAACACTCATGTCGTTCTTGCGTCTCCGACCTGAAGGCCGTATTTTCGTTGACGACAATGGACTGCTTTGATGCTCAAAATCATGTACATGAATTTGCCAGGTGAGATTTATTTGTTTTCAAAACACAAACAGGGACTGCGACTGAGCGAGATCAGGTGGCCCGGGGAGAAACATTCTAACGGCTTCAGCGCAAGATAGGACAAGGCTTGGTGAAGTCGAGGCTACTCAGCATGCTCTTCAAAACCAATTGTGAACCTCTCGTCTCAGCAAGCCCTATAACTTCCACGCCCTCTGAAAACAGACGCGGGATAGCATCAACGGATGCCAGGCTCAAGCGAACCACTTCGACCGGGACATCCCCCTTTTATCGACCCAAACAAGAACGCTACTTGTCCCTAAAGAATGTGCCACCCACGAAGTGTGTCCCAAACCATGTTGCTACAATGTGGGAAGTGTCAATTACTTCATGTACGCTGCAATCCGAGAGGTACAATGTTTAGGCCTGCGGATATGAGCATTAACCCACATTTAGGAATAACCGCGGCACGCTCGCTAACCCAGTCGATCGCTCTTATTGAACAAGCTATGACACTCTGGCTCTTCAGATCGCTTCATGGGGCGAACCTCAGAAAGTGACAGACCTCGAGTTTGGCAATCGGTTTGTGCCAAGCACTCATCTTGGTGTTTACTACTCAAGTAGCCAAGTGCCACATTGCTTTGTTGTTTTAGTACGATTGCCCATTGCACGTCATCACTAGGTGAGCCGAAAATCCGTCGAGGTCAGCCGATGGAGACAAATAGCCGCAACGACACGGCATCAGAAGGTCAGCTTGATCCTCAAGCAAGCTGTCAATATGGCGGCCAGCAACACGATTAGGGGCAACTGTGCTGTCCTCTTTGTCCGTTCTGGGATAATCCTGCATGGTTTCTACCGTCGCAAACACTCGGTGAGATTCCGGGCGGGTCGAGAACTTGCCACGAGTCTCTCCGACGGTCCACATCTCATACCCGGCTGCGCAGCGCAGCTAGCTATTGACGGATATGAGCATAAGCTCGATGCTGAGAATAACAGCAACTAGCGAAGCCGGGTCTCTCATTATACCGTGCTGGACTGAGTTCCAGAGGAGGCATGTTTTCGTGTTGCAGTATTTATACCTTACGACTCCGGGTCGTTGAGAGTTAGATCTCCGTCAATCGGGCCGGCTTCGCTACAACTCCGACTTGAACGAGTGAATCCCGGCCGCACCTTCCCTCTGACAGCCAGAGCGGACCCCATCTGACGCCTACGACTGCTCAAACGATACAGGCAGGCAAGAGCTTTCCTTCGTTTCCCAGCCAGACGTTCTTTCTCTCTTTCCCGCTCCTGAGAGACGACAACGTGTTTCGCGCTTTCTTTTGCGGGTCTGAGGCTGCAAAATATTTTTTTTCTGTTTGGATGCCATCATCTTCTGCCGGTGACACACTACCAAGCTGTCCTCTTTTCTCTCAAAACAAAAACGGAAGACTAAAAGTAAAGGCTAACTAGCGGAAATCAGTCCCCTTTTCCAGCAACTTTGTGTCGTCGTTCTTTTTGCCGATTGGCGTTGAGCCACTTCTGCATTGACAACCGTGGCTGTCCATCCATCGAGGCTACCCTACCACTTTCTCGCCTCTTGTGCGCAGTCAAGTCCAAAGTGGCCGCGATCAACCACCTGTAGTTCGGCAGGCAGCTCCAGTTCTTGGCGAAGAGCACATTGAGGCTCGTTTTCATTGCCGGAAAACCCCCCATGGTCAGTGTCTCTATCAGGTGCTTCGTCAGCGTTCGAGCTGCTAACATAAGATCTAAATGATAGCGTCCACGGCCATCATATCTTGAGCAGTGTTTGGTCTACTATTCCATCGGCAAGACATCCTCGGGTCTCGCCTAGACACGATGAAGCTCACTTCATCCTCTATCCACACTGTTATCCACCCAACGGCCGCTTTTTCGGCGAACGTTCCAAAGCCCTCCGGGTCTCCTTCCGCCGAGCCGGAATCTCAATCCTGGCTCCATTCCCAACTGAACCCCAAAAACCGAATCGACAGTCTTGAACCACCAGAAAACCCCCCTCTGGAGAATCGATGGGTGTACCGGCCAAGGAACGCAGTTTTTGCCTTGCCTCTGTTCTTAGGGGACCATGTCCCGCCCCTTCGATTCGACGTATTCCTCTCCCAGGAAGCGGGAAGCTGCCAACAGATACGGGACCTGCTCGACCTGGATGCCGCTTTCCATACCAAGGATGCTGTTCGGGTGCAGAGGCTTGGCATCTCTCGCCATATTCTGCGGACACTGCAGGCGTGGACCCAGTCAAGTCAGCAGGGCGACAGCAAGCATAGCTTGGCTGAGATGTACAGGAACTTGCCCTTTGGATCCCGCATCATCTTCGAGAATCTGGAGTTCGACATCCGTAACATAAAGATCACCATTGCCCAAACATTCCATCTCGAAGGGCAGTTGCTCGGGCTTTCCAAACTCAGCGCTCAACTCGGTCTGCCTCAGGATAGTCTCCCAGAGCCGATAGACATCTTCAAGGTTCGCATTTTGGGTCAACTTACCGAGAGCGTGTGTCTTGTTTGCATGGACGATGATGATAAGGTGAAGGTCATTGCCACAGATGCCGCCAACGGAACGGAGGCAAAGAAAGAGGAGCTCTGGATCCTGAAGGCCTTGACCAGCGGCACCAAATACCTGTACACCGAGCTTCGTAACCTGCTGCAGATGCCACCTCATCCGCACATTATTTCACATCCAGCACGTCTTGTGACGAAGCAGTGCCAGTTTGGAGGAAAGAACGCAGTCGTCGGGTTCATGATACCGTATCATTCTGCCGGAGGGCTCAGAGACACCCTGCCACTCCTTCGCATCCACGGACAGCTTGCGCTCAAGGACCAACTCAAGTGGGCTATCCAGTTGGCCCAGGCTCTGGTGCATATCAGCGACCAGGGTCAGATGTATTATCCTGATCTTCGTCTTGACAACATCCTCCTCTCTCAGGCCGGGGACATCGTCATGGTAGACTTCGAACAACGCGGACTGTGGTGCGAGTTTGGTGCGCCCGAGGTAAACGCCCTGGAGTATGTGCGCATCCTAGCCAGCAACACCTTGCTCGAAGACAACGACCCGGACCTCTCCATACCCGAGGAGATCACAGAAAAATTCACTGTTTTGCTCACGCGGGAGCTACCAGACTGGGAGGCTCTAGAAATCTGCGAGAACTACAACCAACGACCAGAAGGTTACACCAGCTTCAACATCGCGTGGCTATGTCTCTCCAAAGCGGAACAAGAGGCTGCGGTGGTCTACATGCTCGGACGAGTCCTCTGGTGCATATTTGAAGGCCAGAGCGGCCCGGACAAAGCCGCTTTTTGGCAGTCGTATGCTCGGGAGCCGGACTTGCAGTTTCCTGAGATGAGATATACGCCTGTCGAGCTAAGAGGCTTGGTGGACGAGTGCACGAGGGGTCGGAGGGATGTTTTGTCGAGCCTGGTTACGCGTCAGGGGAGTAGACTAGTCTTGTTGCGCGAGAAAGACACTCAGGAGTCTGCTACTGATGGTGAGGAGAAAAAAGAAGAGCGAATTCTTCAAGTCGCAAGAGATTGGTGGACCACAGAGGTGAAAGCTGCGGAAGACTTCTTGCAGATGAGATACGAGATGAGGGAGCGTGGTGAGTGGAATGAGAACTACTTCAGTAGACCGAGTCTGAGGGATGTCATCAGCCGCTTGGAAGATTTTCAGAGACGGAGTTTGTCATGAGTAGACAGTTTGGTCGAAGAAATTTTCGATTTTTTTCTGATCTACTTTGGGGATTTGTTTCAAATGATGTAGTTTTTCATCTTGTCTCTACTCTTATATAGTCAGTTTGGTTCTCAACTATCTCTATGTCCATACACAATTGTTTTGCTATGAGCATTCGCACATGAGTAAGCACTTGTTTGAACAGGAACTGTCTGCAGATGAATCAGCATATGTATAGATGCTATGCACTTCTTGTGAAAGTGAATATTCACCTTCGAGAGAGCCTCTTCACCTTAGTCAGAGTCTGGTCGAGAAACGACAAGACGATTCCTCTCTGTGTAATTTTGTTTTACGTTTTTACTATCCCTCCCACTTATGAACTGTACCTAGATACATAACTCATCAAGCCTCATCTCAATGGCGCCTAATTTTGCTTTGCAGCATACATCCTTTTCAATGCTGTAGTTGAGTGTCTACCTTTGAACTGTTCTACTTCTCTTTTTCTGCCGAATATTCAACGTACTTTCTCCTGCATAGGTAGTAGTATCTTCTTCTTCCCAATTCCTCACTGACCTTCCTTATCGAGCTGAGTCTCCACCTCGGCCCAGGACCATCACATACACATGTGCATTTCAGGCTTGAGGTATGCTGTTGGCGAAACGTCACACACAGTTTTGTTGCCACTGACAGGTGCGATCTTTCGATCTCGCAATCTGGATCGGTCTCTTTCTATTTCATGTGCCCTGGGTGTCTGGGTGCCTGTGTGCCTGGCCACGTCTGATCTGGTCTGCGCATAGCAAAGCAAGCATTCAACAAAGGAGGGAGAAAAAGGGAGAGTACACGGAAAATGCTGAAGAACAAAAAAGGCTTGTGATTGTCAGATGCCACGGCCCGCTGTTGATGGGAAGCCGAGTACCTATATATATGCAAAGAAACGAAAAGGGTCGGTTGTAATGAGATTGTGATGCTTGGCTACTTAGTTAGAGATATTTATGCAGGTCGGCACACGTTGGGTGCTAGACTGAGGGGAAAAAACGGCAAGTTCATCTTGGCATCATGGTGGTGGTGTGTGTAGTGAAAGCGGCTGGAACGAAGTTTTGCTTGTGAGAAAACGTTTCCATCTTCCATCTGAAGATGTTTTCAATGCTTTTGCCACAGAAACGTTAGATGTATATATGTATATGTAGGCAGCGCCTTGTGTATGCCATGTAATTCTTCCTGAGTATCATGTCCCTGCTCAGGAATGGTGTGGTCAGAGTCTTTGAGGGAGTCCTTAAAATTGCTCCCTGTGTTCTTGGCGGTACACCAAAAGACCAAGTGAATTATCCCGTAATATCGGACAGGTAAAGAGCGGCTTTGAGCAAAAGTGAATCCATCGTTTTTTGATCTCTTCACAACTTCCTAGACTGTGTTCTGCGGACAAAGCCCTGATCCCTACACAAGAACCCTTCTCCTGTACCCCAGATTTCTTTATCGCGATGTGCGCGCAAAAAGTGGCGTACGATATCCACCGAGCCCCGGATCATCATCCGCTTTTCGTCTAGAGCGGCCGCCGATCAGGATGAGTGACTGACGTGCCCCGTGGGGTAAAAAGCCACCACGGCCGGTGGAAAAATAAAATGAAAGACGGGAAGCGGAGAGAAGGGTCCAGAGGGTCCAGAGGGTCCAGAGAGTCCAAGAACATGCCTGTAGGTGAAATGGTGTCAGGCTAATAAAACGAAATCACACTTAAAAAGGCCAACCTAGGATAACTTCGTCATAATCAACCAAGCATTGACAGTTGTGGAACACATTTCGGAGTTTTCAAAGACTCCTTCACCTGTTCAAGCTTCTGACAAGCGATTTGGTTTCCCTTTTTCAGTGACATTTTGCGATTCTCAATGCAGCACTTGTCTCTTGCCTCCAGTCGCTTGCCAAGAAGGATCGGACCGGCAGGGGCCTCGGCTTTCCGAGAACTTCCATTTTGGCCTAATCTCCTGTTCTTTGAACTATTGTCTTGACGGCCCGCGATTAAACCTTTTCTAGGCTGTGGCCGCTCGCGCACCACGCTAGCCAGTGGTCTAGACGAGCCCGCGCCCGAAGCCCCGAACGCCTTCCCTTCCCTAACTTGTTGCAGTTGGAGAGTAAGACAGGACCATGACGAGTTCGGTGATAGCGTCGTTGCATAATGCAGGAACAAAATTCTTTACTAGGATCACGCATACGTGCATGTGCATTCTGTAGTGTGCAGTGTGCCCCTGAAGAATATGGTCAGAGCACGTCGTGCGCTCAGGCATAGTGCTTACGAAAAGCCGAATTGTGTCGTTTAACTTAACACAAACTTAACAGAGATGGATGTGGCCGGTGGGTCGTAAGGTGAGACCTGGAGGATATCGATCATCGGCTTAACAACTTCAACTGTGTCTGAGCCCTTGACTTTGTCCCAATACAAATCTGGTGGGATAGGTGAGAAGCCAGTGCCCATTGTAGCGTACACTGCCGAGTAGCGCTCAAGGTTGGTTCTCCTTACCTTGTCATTTCCCGATTTACGATCTTCGTCAAAGTTGTTTTATCGCGTGGCCATGTACCTAGTAGCTTTTGGCACGACGGTGGTGCGTCGTACTTTTTGCTGGACTTTTCCATTCTCCTCAATCCGTGTCCCTTGTCCCTTTCAGCTGTTTGCTCGGGCCTTTCTGTTACATCAAGACCGCTGAAACGATACTAGTCTTAGCTTGCGGGTTGCAATCTCGTGTGTCAACAGTCGTTTTAGCCTAGCATTTATCCAGAGCCAGAAGCCTCGCGTGCGTGCGATCAGTGATGAGCCACCAAAAGAGCTTTCCGTTGGGGGACGACAGCTGTAGATCTGGACCAGACAAAGGGTACCCATCGTTTTAGCACCTGAGGCACCCTGGACTTCGGATCCATCATCCGGAACTCAACGCAGTGGTCCCATCCTGATACGGTCTGCCATGAAATGCTCTTGTCCATTTTCAGATCGGAGCTCTTGGAGCAGATGTTTCCTCACCGCTCTCGTGTCCTCGAATGCGTCCAAGCGAGAGCTCATACGAAGCCCTTTTGGCAAAGGGAAGACCTGGAGGCGAGACTATGGATATGAGTTGAGTCCAGAAGGCCCAACCACCAACAGTGTTTCGGAAAGGACTCCAGTCGTTCGTTGGCAATTTCCGGAATATTTTATGTTGTTGGTAAGACTGCCCTGCATCCAGAAACCTGGAGTTCCAGGAAGACATTCTTCCACGTCACGGTCTTGTCAGACGCAACTGGTAAGTGATCGCAATAGGCAAATGCATGATCCTTCGTGTCCAAATCATTGGAGTGCCATCCTGACTCGGGAAACAACCTCCCAACAGAACCACACTCCTGGAGAAACCACCGGTCCAAGTTATTCGAACTGCCAGGGGGCAGGGGGTGAGCTGCAAACGTCAAGGTCCCCGAACCAGAGGGAGAGAGTCCGGGGAGGTAGGCAGGTAGAGACCAACTGAATCAGATGTACGTATTCAAGCCCTAAGCCCAACAAGATCGGACACGGTGCCGCAAGCCGTTAGTGAGCGTAATCTTAAACCCAGAGTTCAATCCATGTGGCACGGCGCCCTGTTCTGAACCAGAAACGGCGTTGTGATGGCGTGGAGATTGTCGGGTTGGCGCCGGAACAGCGGAACCAGAAGTGCGCACTAGCGTATACTGAGCGGGCATCAGCTTTTTAAAGGAAGCGTTACTAACAGAAAATTGGACGCTGCTATCGAAAGTGAGGCCATGTTGCCACGGCGAGGACACGCCTGTGTACGAGATGTTTGGGGAAGGTTGTTGCAGTAGCGAAATTGGATGGTTGTGGTATGGAAGCTTGGCATTGGATGGACTTGGCAGTTCCAGAAGCCTGAGAGGTGAGGTGGCGTTCTCGAGCCGCTTCAATGTTCAAATCGTGATGGATCTATCGAGGAGATGTGAACCGAAAGAACATGCTGGCCAAAAAGCCACAACAAAGCGATGGAATAGATAAGGTATGCCAGCGGGAAGTGTCCTTGCGGTCCAGTTATCCCAGACAAAAAACGGGTTTGAAACAGCAAAGCCCGGCAATGAAAGAAAAAGAGAAGCACGGTAGAAGGATTTCCGAAGCCCAACATTCGAGTTCCGTGGGTGTTCAGAGCGAAAACACTAAGAAACGGTACCGATAAAGGGGGTTGCGTGTGAATGAGGGCGAGGACGACTTCGGTAGGGTTACATTGTCTGCGGCACCGGAAGTAGCGAAACTTGTGTGATGACCGTCTTGGTCAATTTATCCCACTCAACATGCCGCGATGGTGACGGTGGTGTGCGGTGGATGAGACAAATGCCCAAACTCCAAAACACCTTGGAAAGTCTGGAGTCGTCACGGATGGAGAGCCCGGGAGCGGCAGTTGTCCAGATCCGCATCGCCTGAAGCCATCCAACATCAACACCGTGATTCCGTGGCCGAGCGACGACGCAGCACGGGTACCCACGGAAACCGAACAACTGGGACCATGAAATGCAGCTTCGAAAGCTTGAGCGGCGGCCGATTGCAGTATCTTGCTGCACTAACAAGGTTGGTGTTGGTGTTTAACAAACTTTGGAGCTTTGTGAAAGCTGAGGCGTCGTTGTTGTACACCGTCACAGCTGTTGTGATGACCGAGCGAACCGGGCAATGCGTTTATTCGGCAACCGATGATGAGATCCAAGGCGTCCATGTGTGATAGAGGCTGCCTTGTCCGAGGAATGAGGCGCCGCCATTCAAGGAATAATACAAACTTCCTTTCCCAGACGGCCATCGCCCTTCGACGAGGTTTGTTGAGGTAAAAAGCCAATGCTCTGAAAGCACACGGCACTTGAGAAAAAGAACATGAGATACAGGTATGATGTCGAATGGAGAAAGAGACTGGAGAACCTCAAGCGTAGAACCCCGCGTCCGATGTCGATCGAATGCACAGGCCACCTGCCGTTTACATAGTACACTACACTACCTTAGTAGAGATGCTAGACTAGGTACCATAGTCCCTAGCGCCAGTGCTCCCCAGACTGCCAGCTCGATCAAGCTGTGGACTGAAATGCCCCTGGCATTGTCGGGTTCCCCCAACAGCGAGTTTCCGATGCGAAACCCACCCAACAAATGGAAGAGCCCCCATTCCATCCAGCTATTCCATGCTCCTGGATCGCCATCTGGAATAGCAAAGTTGAAGAGCCAACGGTGTTTTGATATGACGTTGGGTTCCACTTGTCAAATGGTCATACATGCTGCCTTCCCGGACGTTTTCGTCGAGGGTCAGCACTTCCTTTCCCGTCGAAGGTCGCTACTGTAGGTCCTCCCTTCCTAACACGCCATGTAGTGCCGTGAAGTGCCGTGAGGACAGTACAGGGCCATCTTTCCTTCCATTGTTTCTATACTTGCCACCGAATGGCGGAGGGCAGTAGCAATCAATAGCACGGCGGGAAGTGCAGAGCAGCCGAGCAACGGAAGGGTGTGCTGGGTGTCAATTTCGCTTGCAGACCTCGACACTATCACGACTACCATACCTACCCAGATAGCCGTACTCCGGTGTCAAAGCAGCTCGAAGTACCTATACCATTTTCATGTCAACAAGACGTTCATCTGCTCTGTCTGCCAGGGCTGCCATGCGACAGCGGGTCTACCCCATACCCTGTGGACCTCACGGAGCACAAGACTAAAGCGAGCCATTCAGTTGAGTCTTCTTCTCCCTTGAGAAAGTCTCTTTGTATACTCGCTGACTGGCTCGAGTGAGATGTGACGGCACTGGCTTCATAAACGATGGATGGGCAATCCGGACAGTGTGACAAATTGCTATCCCAACCCGACAATTTCTCTGGCTCTTTGGCTCTTCTGGTGACGCCCCTGAACCGTCCCCTTCAACAAACCACACAGTCAGGAACATGGATGTGACATCGTCAGCACTTGGCGTTCCCCAGGGCGCCCGTCGCTGCCCCCCCGGCCGGTCCCTACCCTCCACTGTGACTGGACCCCGGCCTCCTGGGCCTGGTCCCATCAACAGGAAACATCGCCTCCTTACGGGATCACAAGCGAACCACAAGAGACCTCAAATCAGATGGTCCCGAGTGCGCTTGGACTGCCCTCAACCTCGCTTTCTGATCCTACCTCGGGCGGCGTGCAATCTAGGACATGTCCCCGCATCACCTTACACTCTTGGCGACAGCGGTCCTCAATGCTTCGCCATGGTTGGTCAAGATCGCCAAAGAACGAGACTGGATGCAACCGCAACACTGCACACTGAATGGGCATGGCCGTACCGTATGAAAGGCCCCCCGTTCCCATGTTTTGCGCTCCACTCCGGCCCTGGTCACAGAGCCCCGGAAGCCCTCTGTCTTGCCTGACTGAGCATGGCGTGCGGGCTTGGTGGTGTTCTGCAGAAGAAGGGGACCACATCCAACACCACCTCAGAAACCCCAAGGAGTGGCCGAAAGGCAAAATGGAAATGAGACGGGAGGCACACCATCTCGGCCCAGTTGCCCGTACATATGGGTGCTACCACCCACTGCCATCCACATGGTGCTCGTTCTCTGAAAAGTTCTCTTTTTGGTCCCCTTCTCCCCGTCCCCTCTTTTGCACATCATGAGTGCTTGATCGCTCATGCTAATACACTCCCTACCGTGCAATTGAGTGATATCATCTTTTCAGTGTATTATTTTTCCTTCTATACCCACTATACCCCGTCTTTGGTGTTCGATTTAGCTTTGTCGGTAGCCCACGTCCCTGAACACTCCTTACTATCAACCTATCGCCTGTCATTGTCTCCACCCTATTCCATCTGGGCTTAGGGTATTCTCTCGACGACACACTACTATTTCTTCCGCCACGACGACGATTTTCACTTCGATCGCCTTTGTTCGCCCTTGCTGGGGTCACGCGTCGGCCATCTAGACCACGAAGAAGGTGTCCTATACACGTTTGGCCAGTACCAGAGAGCGGCCATCTTTGGAGGGAGCCGAAGCACCTAAACGGGTAGCGGCCAATTACCAGAACCAGGAGGGCTCACGCGCCGACTTACGATATAGTCCAAGGGACGCGGCTTCGAAGGATCCTACACGATGGCCAACGAAACGATCCGTTGTCCTTCGCCATTTCTGAGCGAGGCGCTTTTTGACAATGGGGGGTGTAAGTCACTAGAATTAGGATCTGATCATCACGGGGGTCGCTGCTAACTAACGTACGACCAGTTGTGGATGGAAGGTTATGCCAGGACGCAGGGAAAGGGCTTAGGTGCTGCCTGCCTTGCCCCATGACCGATTGGGCCTATCCGGACGAATTCAATACCCTTGGAGAGGTGGCACAATGGGTCGCAGTTGCTGGCACTGCCTGCTGTGTCTTTCTTCTTTTGTCCTGGATCATCCTGCCCGTCGATAAGACTTCTAGACATTACCTAAGTCTGTGCTTGACTACAGCGGTTCTGTTTATGAATGTGAGTAGTTGGCCACTTATCTCCTGCTGCCAAGTGGGATTTCGAAACGTTGACAAACTTTACAGCTCGGTTTCGTGATACCTCTTGCCGCCCAGCCAGAAGAATGCTATGATAAGATCACGCCCCATTCGATGAAAACCAACTCCCCTTGCGCAGTATCCGGCGCATTCTTGGTCTTTGGAGGCTGGGGAGGAGTGATGTGGGTGTTTTTGCGCTCGCTATCATTGCATCTGCAAATCTGCTGGCAGGTTGTTGTCGGACGCAACTTCATGTGGTTCTCCCAGGCTATCGGCTGGGGAATCCCCGTTATCGGCATCATCATGGCTCTTGTTTCAGTGGTGTTTCTTTCCGATTTGGGTCGACCTGTCATATCAACCACGAGAACAGCTTGGCCGACCTTTGGATCCCTTTGCTGATCTTTGCCGGACTCACCATTTTTATTCAGTTTGCGACGTTTGGTTATTGCATCAAGGTCTACCTCGCATCGCTTGCCGACAACAGCGCCTCCACCGAAAACTCGAACCTGCCTTCGTATACCAACAGCATCCGAACCATGACGCCCAAGCAGGCGTACAGGCGTGTACGTCGAGTCATCCAGCTTCAGTGGAGGGGGATTGCCATTGTTCTTATCATTGTTACCGACGTCGTCCTTTTCTCGGTCGTCTTCGTTTTCCAGGACAACACGGTTGAGGCCGTTAGGAGGGACCCCAGCACTGCCCTGGAATGGATTGGCTGCCTTGGGGTAAATGGTGGTGACAAGAACAAGTGCCTGGATAAGGCCGGCCCACTGGTGGTCGACCTCCCGACTGTTGGCGCAGTTCTACTGCTTCTCTCGGTAAAGCTACCAACCGCCACATTTGTTACCAAACATATTATAGAAAGTGCTAACCAGATAAACCTTGTGCTAGATCAACGGATTGTGGCTTTTGCTCCTCCTCGGTCGATGGTCGATGGTAACGGGATGGCGCGACCTCCTGATGACGGTTCCTCACCGGAACAAGCGAGAATTCGTCTCCGTCGATGCACGGATGGACGATCTCAAGAAAGACACACGTTCGTACGAGATGCTGTCCCGGGAAAACTCCGGGAAAACGATGGACGACTCAGTAACACTCTCCGCAGTGACTCCGATCTCGCCCACGTATAACGCGTACAACGCGTACAACATGAGGTCACCCATCGGTGGTAACGGCGGTGGTGGCTACCGAAGCCCCTCCCTGACCCGGAACACTCCCGGGGGCACTGCTTCACCGGGACCTCGCAACCAGCACGATACCGCCAACCACTCGGGCCGCCGAACCCCCGATTACTTTGGCAGCACGGCACGCTACCACGCGCCAACGAGGTCTTTCTCGAGCCCCCGTCCCCCACAGTCGCCACCACCCACGGTGACATGGGACGCAAGAGACACGTACGCTAGAGCTTCTCCGCTCCCGGAAGAGAGTCCGTATGGGCATGGACAAGGAGGGTACGGTCAACAACCTCTGGGAATGAACAGGATATGAGATTAATGATGACAGGATGCATAATGTGCAATTTGTTGAGGGAAGGGAAAATGATACCATTTCTGCTTATGCCAATTTTAACAAAGTAAGATGAACACACAATCTTTACCTACCTTGTGTGTGTCCCCAACTCCGTGACGTGAGCTATCCCTCCCATGCATACCGGTATAATGTGTATGCAAGAGGAATACGTCGGGTCAAAGTTCAACTTTTACCCAAGAAGCCCTCCGTTGGAATCCGCCACGACGCCAAGGTCGTGCAAAGGCGGCGAGGTAGTCCACCAAGCTTACGCCCTGCGTACCGGTACATACCGAGGCCAATGTGCGGTAATGAACCAATGGCAGTTCTTATTTCCATCAACGGAAGTTCTGGTACGGTTCATATAACTTAATTCCCGTCAGTCATGATGACAGCGGGATAAAGAGCGGATGAAGCGGGTGTGTATAGGTAATCATCGACTTCTCCCTCTTTGTCATACCCACCACACTCCCGGTAGCCTCGTGGACTTACCACCCAGTTGCTGACTTCAAAGCAGGGATTGGGAGGGCGACAACTATCAGACACGAACGACCCCGACGATGCATCGATGTGAATTGTGATAATTAGAACTGGTCCTGGAAGCCTGCAGAGGTAATCAATGCTCGCCTTGGATGGAGATGACGAGACACCTCAGGATCGACGCTCGAGGGTGCAGTGGAGCAAGACCAACCTAACTGCGGACGGAAGACGGGACAAAGACGGAGACGGAACGGGACGTGCGGGGCCACCGGAAGTGGTACCCCAGTCGGTACCTCTAGGTAGTTGGATGGCGAAGATCCGGTATAAATCGGATGAGAGTACGGTATACCGGATTGGTACGACGCAGATTTGTAAAGGTACAGTCGGGATGTGCAAGGTAAGGTGTTTACTCGATTAGCTGATAGCTCACGGAGTCTGAAGATGCCATTGTGGTGCTACCGGAAGAGAAGTTGTTAGTCAGATATAAACCTGTCACCTTGCTCTTCCTCACCGTACCCATGGTTCTCGGGTAAGTGACAGCAGTCGGAACTTCTTGCCTTCAGCCTTGTGGCTTCTACATGACACAAACCTGCCGTGACTGCATTCAGCAACTCAAATGTATTTCTGGAAGGAGGAACGAAGGGGAGGGGGAGGTGGGAGGAAGGAGGACATGACTCACAAGAGTAGAGGCAGGGGCTCCCGATATGTTCGGTCACGGTTGACTTGACTGGGGTGGCTTTGCTTCTCTTGAACCTTCGTTCATGATCCTCTGGTTTGCATCCTTGTGATGCAGAGTGAATCTATTCAGTTCGACGCTTCACTCTGCATTCCTCCCGGACTCACGGTGTTAATGCCTCTTTTTACGCCGTCATTCGTTTGCCGAGTCAGGCTTCTTACTTTACAGTCATTAAACGGAATCTTTAGAGAAGCATCCACACTTTGCCTCCTCAGAACCGCCCACCATATGACGCCATGGTCAGAAAGGAACTTACACGAAACCCAGTCCTTCGCTATGCCAGTCGCATATGGGACATGTTTAAGTATAAGCTTTCGTCAGCTTACCATTGTCGACCCTTTCCCGTTCGTTTGGAGGACGTACGGCAAGCAAACATGGCCATGGGCCCGACTTTTGAAGGATCATATCTGCAGCAGAGGTAGCAAACTGATCAGATGATGCCCGAAAAACCCCAACCCGAACCCCAAAACGGGCTTCCGCTCTCCAACAACACTTCATCATCCACTTACACTGTTTTCACCACAGCTGTTTCTCGCGCCCGCCGACGCCGACTTATATCGCTTCTTCTAACAAAGACAAAAACCGGTCGCATGATTCTCCTGATTTCAATTGTTCTGCTGGGCTCTATCCTCCACTACATGTGGAAGGCCGAAGCAGCGCTAAGCAGGCCCTGGACACCAGACGACAGCTCCCTCGCCTTTAGCCAACGACCACTTTCCCCACCAGCAAATGAGAGCTTCCTGTCTTCGCCCGGATACAAGCTCCCACTACGGACCAAAGGGCGGGATATCGTGGACCAAAATGGCAAGCGCTTCAAGCTCTCATCTGTCAATTGGTACGGCGCCAGCGACGAGCTCTTCATTCCCGGCGGGCTAGACGTTCAACACCGCGACGTCATCGCAGCCACGATCCGCTCGCTCGGCTTCAACAGTGTGCGTATGCCATACAGCGACGAGATGGTCATTTCCAACCCGGAAGTTCCGCCGCATCTTCTTTCGGCAAACCGGGATCTGGTGGAGATGCGGGCCCTGGATGTGTTTGAGGCGACTGTAACCGCCTTGACAGACGCCGGGTTGGCCGTCATTATCAACAATCACATCACCACTGCGACATGGTGCTGCGGCGCCGACCCATGCGATGCCGGCTGGGCAAATGATTATCTCCCCCAACGGGCTGTGTCGGGTACGGCAAACGGAGGCGGAATGGATCGAGCACTGGGAGACGGTGATGGAACGGTTCGTCGACAATCCGCTGGTTATTGGGGTTGACTTGCGCAACGAAGTGCGCGGGCTTTGGGGCACCATGCCATGGGAGAAATGGGCGTCGGCGGCAGAGCGAGCAGGCAATGCCTTGCTGATGATGAACCCGGACTGGCTGATGGTTGTGGGCGGGACCGAGTCCGGAAACGACCTGACGGGCGTGAGACGTCGGCCGATCGAGCTGGACGTGGAGGACAGAGTGGTGTACTCGGCGCACGTCTATTCGTGGAGTGGTTGGGGGAGTGCGGGAGGAAGATATTCGAAACGCACATATGCTTCCTTCGTGAAAGCCATGCGTAAGAACTGGGCTTACCTAGTGGAAGAAAACATGGCGCCTGTTTGGATTGGAGAATTTGGCGCGCCCGACCGTCCTGGCATCGGTGATGCGAACTATTGGCGGAATCTCCTGCGGTATCTGAAGGAGATTGATGCCGACTTTGGATATTGGGCCGTCAACCCGCGAAAGCCGAGGGACAACGAGAGGGAATCATACTCGCTCGTTGAGGATGACTGGGTCACGCCGGTGCTGGATTATCGTATGAAGGACATGGCGGAGCTGATGAGACAGTGATGATGTCGAAATCGGTTTGCGGTACGGCAGTATTCTTCGGGATCTGATGACTATGCGAACCAGCGAGGCGACTCCCTGAAGGCACTTTGTTTGGACGGATAGTTGACGGGTCCCATTGTTGATATGTTTTGGGAGTATTTGTTAGGGCATTAGGTGGAAAGCGTTAAAGCTGCCGTGTAGGCTGAGGACATAGCGAATATATCTACCGTTATTTTCTCGCCACATGTGCTACGTCTCTGTTGCTCCGCTCCGAATGCTGCTGTTGTTTCTTTCTGACTTTCCCGAGGCCGCTGGAGGTCAGGTCCCGAGTCGTTCTTGTCCGGGCCGGGAAAAGTTGAAGTGCAACAATCCGGCGTAGACGGGAGCTTGGAGGAGCAATAGCCAACACCCGAACCCGACCCCATAGGCAAGTACCCCGCTTCGGCCCCACCTAGGTGACCAGCAAACCAAGGCAAAAGATACCTAAACTGTTAAGATGGAGCTCCCCAATGTACACCACCCTACTGTGAATTCAGCGCCTATAGCAGCTTCCCTTTGTTAAAGTGCTGGGTACCTCTCCTTTTGGACCTTCCCACCAAATCACGCTTTCACCCAGGTTCACCTTCCCACGCTACTACATATCTTCACCCGCACCGGTGACGACAATCACTCAGCATCTGATAGCTCAGGCCCGTTTTGCTTTCGATTTGTGATTTCAGCTTCGGTCATTCAACTTGCAGAAACAAAACTCACTGCAAGCATCTTGCCCAGCAAAATTCATTCCCCTCCTGCCTGCACTATCAACCCTCAACGGCTCGCAACTACCTTCGAGTGTGCTGCACTATCTACCGCCTGAGTGCTTTTTACTATTTTCCGTCGATGATCACACGATGTCCCCTTCAGTCCGTCTTGACTTCAACAACTGAGTATTCTCTAACTTGGCTGTCATGTTCCCCGCCGACTATCATCGTCCTCTTACACTTCATTTTTCATTATTAGCACGGTCATTTACTACCTCTCCCATTATTCTCCCAGACATCGTCAACACGGCCTGGTAAATACTTAATGGGTCCGTCACATACCAGAAGCATCAACTTTGATATTAGCCCACGATGGAGCCGGATACGCACCTCGGCACTCCACGGCGTTCTTTCAGCCCGGCCAGTGACGAAGACGGCAGCGAGGCCCATGCCACCGTACGTTCCGACTGCCTCAACGTTGCCCGCATTTGCCATGTCCAGACCGCAGAAAACCGGGTACGTCTGTTAAAACAAAAGTCTCATGTGTTTCTTGGCTATCGGCACGGATACCAGGACTTCCTTCAAGCCTTTGCCTGACCTGTGTTGCTGATCTTATACATTGGACAGTTCGGCGCAGACATCGGCCCAGAGATCAGAAGTTTTATCCACGAGTCGTGGAACAGTGGTGTCGGTATGGATGACGGCCCCCCCGAAGGAGACGTGGCTGAACAGGTACCGGTAGTTGATGAGGTTGATACTGTCCAACTCATGCAAGAAGGCTTGGACTTGCCCAATGGGGGGATGACTCCTCTCCCCCCTGCTTTGCCCGATGCCGGGCCGCTATTCCCTATCATGCCTCCCCCTGGGTTGGCACCACCAGTATATCTACCGATAGGGTTGCAAGCACCAGCGGTACCTGCTGATGATATGGTTATGCAGCTACAATTGATGGAACAGCAGAACCAGCAACAGCAGAACCAGCAGCCCCAACAGGATGTGCAACTAGTCCAGCAACAGATCCAAATGATCCAGCAAGAGGAACAAATGCAAGAGGACGAACGGGGGCGAGAGAATGGGCAACAGAGGTTTCCACGAGCTCAGAGGTTGCGGTTGAATCTGACTGCTCTGTCACAGAAATACAACGTGCGTATATCGGCCGGTTGGTGATAGTTGGTATGCGCCTGCTGACCGGAGACACAGCTTTATTTCGCATCTTATCAAAACAGGATACATGTCTTTATCCCCCGGAAGGTCCCAAACATTCTTCCCCGGCCCTGTTTGGTGCTTACGCCCAAAAAACTGAAGATTGCCAGGCGCGTTAGGCCGGCTATTGATCAGTCGTTTGGCCACCAGATGAATCACCTTGTGATCGGAAATTTAGGCCACCTGGAAGTTCTCTTCTTTGCCTTTGATGATGGCGATGTCGGAGCCTACTACACGCACACAATTGCCCACTACATTCTTTCAGCGAGTCGCCAAAGGGAATCTAAAGGAAAACTTCCTCTCACTTCGGTAGAACCTAAAGAGTTCTTTCATGAAAATGTGGGTGACTCTGCCTGGGGGCTTGCGATCCATCAAGAGTCACGCCTACTTGCCGTGAGCTCGAACAAGGCTGAAGTTACTGTGTTTGCTTTTGCGCTCCACCAAGATCAAACTCGGCAATTGAAGGATCTTTCTTTCGATCCGTCTCCCGAGCTCTGGCCCGGCCAGACAGCGCTTGGTCTGGAGAGAGAGTTCCGGACCCGAACTAGGACGTGGAAGATTATCTTACCCTCTTGATCATCGTGGAAGTAACATTCCGAACATATCCTTCTGCGATGACGAGCAAGGTTGCGCAGAGTTTGTGGTTGCTCAAGACATAAAGCAGAGGACATGGTTCCTTGACATCTGGCGGATGGGATATCCTCCGGTTGACATCATGCATGAGACGATAAATATGAACTATGCTACGGCAGAAGGGTGAGTGCACAACCATGTTCCCATGTCCAAACACACTTAACCTTTTCGGCTGAATTGTCTGACTGACTTCAGGTATTTCAGTATCGGTTGGGGTGTCATGGTTTTACCTGATAACTGCTTCAAGAAAACATCGTCTTTGCATGAGTGCCTCGGTCTTCCGGCTGAGGAAATTTCCGCTGGGACATTGCGCAAGGCGGCGTTTTGGCTGGACACAACCTCCAGCCTTGCCCGGGTGAGGGATCTGGCAAATCCTCTCTCATATTTCCTTCGTGCGCCCCATAGTCCCTCATTCGTTGACCCGAAACGAATTGCTAGGTTCCCTATTGAGCAAGACTTGAATGAAGAAGGCGGGGCGGACGAAGAAACAGATATCTCAGACGTGGCTAGGCTATGGACCAACGTCGACTTTGGGCTTTTTGACCGGCGATCTCTGATCTTGACCGATAAGCTTCCCAGGTTTCGCCCGGTTCCCTGGGACTACCTGGAAGATACCCACTACGGCATCCATCAGGCTCAGTTCATCGTACCGAGGTTTGCGCATATTCCAGATGCATCAAGCGTTGGACGTGAAACGTATGCACGCTGGCGCAGCCCTGCGGTACCCTTTCACAAATGCGATTTCTTTTCGCGCTATGCGACGAAGAACATCTCTATACTGCTTACCTCGTCGACAGATGTTTGCTTGATACACATGGATCCCAAGGGCACGCCTGTGCTTTGTAAGGAAATTCTCCCGTTGCACAACCACCTTAACCGGCACCCGTCACCATATGACCTTCACCGGAATATCTCACTCCGCATCGGTATGCTTCTCCACGTGCCAGAGCTCAATCTCGTGGTTCTTGGATCACTCTGCGGCCGCGTTGCTTTACTGCGTTTAACCAAGACGGCAAAGCTTTTTTACGGTGCTCCAGTACGTCGCGGATTCCGCGTGGAAGCGGTCTTACCACGCTGGTTGGAAGAGCACAAACGAATGCGTCCGTGGTGTACTCTCCATGGCATTGCCATTTCGCCCATGCCTGGCCCAAGAACAGACGGCATCTCGTTGCACGGACAGGGCGATGAAAGCCAAGGACCTGCCTGGAAGAAATGGAGGCTGGTATTACATTACTTGGATCATACAATTTTGACATATATCATTACGAGACCAGAGGACGGCGAAGACCTACTCGTTGTTTAAACAGAGCGGGCGTAGAAGCCTTCTCAAGCCGAGGATGGGAGCGGTTTGGCATTTCACAGCGTCCATAGGTTACATAAACAGGTGCTGAGGCTGCCCGTGTTTGCATAGGGTTGTTTGTCCATGTCAAAAAGCGACAATATATACTACCTATAGTCCGTGCAGGTGAATAAACTTGTGCCTCTAACTATTTCCCATAAACGATTACTCTCTGGAAACAACCTACGAGTCCGACTGCATATCTACCGAATAAACTTGGGAAATTGGCAATACGCCACTGTGGAAAAGCCACCTGTTTCTGCCCGAATAAACAAAGTTCTGTAAGGCTCGGGTCCGGCTTCCTGTACTGAAATGTATACGTGTTAACGTGAAGGGCGATGTCGCTGGTCGGGGGCTTGTCAACTCGGCCTTTTCTACTAACCTTTTTTGCCGAGGATTTCTTAGGTTTCAGCAGTAGAAACACACCATACAGGGCACATTCTGCATGCTGCCTCCTGTGCTTCTATCGGGCGCTCTAAGAGGGAAGATGCATTGCCAATTTTCCGAGTTTATTCGGTATAGGCCCCCAATTAATGATAATCCTCTCTGGGGAATGCGCCGTTTACCGGCTACCCTAGCCTGTTTTGAGGCTCATGCGAGGCTCTTGGCACAACTACCACCTTGCAAACGTAGAAGCCAGTGTCCAGCGAGACTACATATGAAGATGGCTGGCAATCCGGCGATTCGGCACTTTGCCAAACATGATCGTCCAGACCTGGTGCGGGGTCGGCCGGTCCGTGTAATACTATTGGCTCGCTGCGGTAGGTACTTCCCGTTTATAGTTAGCTCTTGGCAGACGCCTGCCGGCAAGCTCAACCTTATTTCTACCTCTGCCGCTCTTCAGCACCATTTGTCCCCTTTCGTCCCATTTTTCTCCAACAACTCCTCCGCCGTCCAATTGCCATCTTATTGCCTATCGTCGGCTTTCACCACCTTCCATTTATTTACTGTGATCCTCAGCGCACTGCTAAGCGACCAGCTGGGAGTAACATGGTCACGGGGCGACTATATGCCGTCCCCCTCATTGTCCAGTACGACGTAGTCGGTGAACCTGCCGTACACGTCACCGTCGTTCATTCTCCGGACATCTTTTCCGTCAAACAAGCCAGGATCCTGTTTTCCGCCGTGTCATATAAAATGCTGACCCTCCTTCGCCGCACAAGCCCAGGTTCGACACTCTTCGGTCATCCGCCTTTCGAACCACAAAGGGGCGCATAGACAATCGTCAAGATGGGTTCCACGATCAACCCTCAAGCACGAGGCTACGAGACCGTCAGCCTATCTGAGAAGGAAGAGCTGCCATCACGCCCTCTCCTTGCTCATGGCACGCAACTCAATCCCGCTCAGCGCCTGAAGTGCAAGCTGCCTGTTCTCCTGGCTTCCTGCGCCGTCTCGCTCGCCGTTTTCTTCGCGTTCAACATGCTTGCGTGCAACGACACCCTGTTCGGCATCAAACCGCGTCCATCCGAGCCCTCCACTACGCAAGCACCGTTCCAAGCCCGAGATTACCAGAGTTCTTCGCAGGAGGACTGCCCATGCAAGCCCACGTCCACGGTACCCGACTATTTTAACACCAGCCCAGGCCCGTGGGTTGGCAAGACGGCTACAGGCAAGGCCCCCTTTATGGCCCAGACGAGAACCCTTGACCATGCTGCTACTTATGTGCCCAATGCGCCGCTACAGACGCAGGTGCCCGTTCAGGGCTGGCAGCCGGGTAACTTGAGCATTTTTGACATGATGGGATTTCTGACGCCTTATACGCCCTCGACCGGGTTTGGAGTGGATGAGTGGCCGCTGCCTGAGGGCGCTGAGATTATTTGGCTTCAGGTATGCAAAACTTTGTCTTGGGAGTAAGGGAGACGAAGTCAATGCTAACAGCTCTTCGTTATAGATGGTTTCTCGCCACGGCTCTCGCTATCCCACAGGAGGCTCAAACGTAGAGTCTTTCGGTGCCCGCCTTGCCAATGCGACTGGCAAGTTCAACGCTACGGGTGAACTCGAGTTCATGAACAACTGGAAGTATCAGATGGGAACCGAGATTCTCGTCCCCAGAGGTCGCCAGGAACTGTTCGACTCTGGCGTCCTTCACGCTTACATGTATTCGTCGCTTTATGACCCCGAGACCAAGATCATTGCTCGTACGACGGTATGTGCCACTTATTCACCTGGCACTGAAGACAAGTTGTGAGGTGCTGTGCTAACTAGGGAAATAGACCCAAGACCGTATGATGAAGTCGGCTGAGAACTTCTTAGCTGGTATGTTTGGCCTCGAATGGTATGTGATTTCTGTACCTTCTACCCAAAGCCCAGAAAACAAAACGAGGCGGATTCTGATCTAGTTTAGGACCCACAACGTCACCCTGGAAGTTATCATTGAGGGCTACAGGCTGAATAACTCTTTGGCTGGTTACATGAACTGCCCCAATGGGACCGAGGACGGTCCCGGCTCTGTGGCCCGCGATATCTGGGTCGGCAGCTACTTGAAGGATGGTACGTCGGTTTTCTGGATGATTGCTCTGGATGAATTACATGTGTTGGACACAGCTGACTCCTTTGTTGTTCAGCTACTGAGCGATTCTCCAAGCTCGTTACCGGCTATAACTGGACGGTCGATGACACTTATGCCGCCCAGACCTTGTGCGCCTACGACACCGTAAGTGGAATCCTTCCCTCCATCCCTCCCCCCTGCCTAGTGTCCCATCTCAAACTCACATTTCCTCCACTGAAGGTTGCCAACGGCTACAGCCGCTTCTGCTCCCTGTTCACCTACGAAGAATGGATTGGCTTCGGCTACTCCCACGATCTCCAATTCTACGGCAACAGCGCCTTCGGCTCCGAGACGGGCCGCGCCGTCGGCATTGGCTTCCAGCAGGAAGTCCTTGCCCGCCTCCAAAACCACACCATTGCCTACTCTGAAACCCAGCTCAACACAACCCTCGACAACAATACCGTCACCTTCCCGCTCAACCAATCCCTATATCTCGACTTCTCGCACGACACCAACATCATATCCATCCTCACCGCTTTCGGGTTAACCCAGTTCGAGCAGGATCTCCCTACCGACGTCTACCCGGGTGACCATAATTTCACCGTGTCGCATATCACGCCGTTTGGCGCCCGCTTGGACATCGAGATTATCAAGACGCCGAAGCCGGTGAAGGCTGATCGGAGCGGGTATGAGGATCAAGGGGAGGAGACCAAGTATGTCCATTTTGTGCTGAATCAGAGGACGGTACCCCTTGGGTGGAGCCATCCGGAGTGTGATGCGGAAAGGGTGGATGGGTGGTGCGAGTTTGAGACTTTCTTGAAGGTGCAGGAGAAGATGCCCGGGTTGGCGAAGTATACCGAGGTTTGCTTTACTAAGGGGGGAGGCGCCTAGATCTAAGGAGCTCCCGGCCTTCTTGGACTGCCTACCTTGTGATGAAAGCATTCTCATATGGAAGTTGATGAAGTAAGGGCGGGATGAGGAAGGCTTGACGCTGAAAAGAAGAGATTTAGGTGTATCTGGCGTTTTCATCTGGCAGTTTCCGCACTAGGCCTAGGCGATGTCACTTTGGAGATTTCATTCGCAGATAGCGTTGAATGTTAAAGCCATGTGCTTGTCTTCGCGAAGCTATCTTTCCATCTACCGTAGAAACTCGCGAAACTGAGAAAAGGCCTTCCCTCTTTGAGCGCCGGCATATGCATAGGAAGCTGGTAGTATCAGGCTGGTCACTGTGCCTTCGAATGTGAGCAAGTTGGTCTGGAGGGTTGTGTCCTTCCGTTTTTGATAACTGGATAGATGCCTTTGCTGGTGTATGCGTGCGTATGGGGCAGATTTCTGCCATATGCCGGCGCTCAAAGAGGCCAGGCCTTTTCTCAGTTTCGCGGATGCGGTTCATTTCATTCTACCCATTATCAAGCCCACTTTGTTAAATCCCATGTCGGTCTGGTTGTGTGACAAGACATGACACTGAGCGGGTTCGCCTTTGTTTACATGCCATTACTGAAATAGGGGTAAAGCCTCGACAAGTATGAGCATAATATATGTTAATACGGAAGGACGGGAGAAAGTCCCCTGGGAATTGGATCTTATCCATTTGCCTTTTGACTGATCGCCTCTAATAAAGTCGTCATCAAATTGCGGTGGCAGTTCCTGGTCCTTGGGTCTTTGTGTGTTTGAACTAATGAGTAGCGTCGCGGTCCATGGTCAGAGAGGTGCTAGGTGCTCACTAGGGGCAATTGTGGAGGCTCTTGACACCTGTCTTGTGATGTTTTTGTAGGTGTGTTCTCCAGGCTTCCGGTAGCACACAACAACAACAACAACGCATCACCGCCATTTGTTTTCACCTACTGATAAGTGGACGGTTTCCCCGGCTTTGTTTGCCAAGCGTGGTTTGGTCCCTTTTTTTGCACTTGATGAGCCTCGTCGGCTCATTTTGCGAGTGAGTGTCTTCGGAGGTACGCCCATCAGGTTCAGGTACCTTCTTCCTGCCCTTCCTTATCTTGGGTGTCTGGAGTCTGGAGTCCGGAATTCATCGGCTTCCACACATACTGGCAAAGAGTGTACGTACCTTGAAACCTCTAGAACGCATTTTTTCAGCTGGCTACAGATAAGGCTGATGAAGAGCTTCATCAACGGCATCCTTGAATCAAAGAGGGCCTCAAAGTGGGTTTTCCAAGGGCCTCTTGGCAACTTAGCTTTTTCTGCGCCGCGGCGGGAAAGTGGGTGAAGGATGAAAGGGGGCCCCACCGGCTTTCGTCGGGCGGTGATGCAATGAGTTGCCCCGGCGCATGGCTGGGCGAACTGGTGCTCCGTGAGGAGGGACCAACGTTGGAGAAGGATGTTCGTCGTGTGTTCTTTTTTTTTTTCCAATTTTCTTTTCCGCCGCCAAGATGGCTGATGCAACTTTGACTTCCCAGTCCCGGCCGCGGGCGCAGGCGGCACTTGTCGGGCGGGATTGGCAACCGACGGGGTCTCGGCAGTGGTTCTGACAGTCATTAGTCAACGTCATCAGCGGCGTTTAACAATGATTGGCATGTGCCGTGTTTCCTCTCTTGTGCATCATCAATACCGAATACACACACTGCAACATCCACAGAGCCACACACACACACACACACACAATGGCATTATGAAACCGCCCCATCGTGGAGAGCGAAGCCGTTGAATCTGTACTCCGTTTTCGTTATCAGTCACCACCCACTGAGATCCAGGCGGTTTGTAGCGGCCCGAATGCTGCGAGTCTCGACTCGCCAACACCTTTTGATTGAATGGTTGGCCTCGGCTTTCCGCTCGTAAGTGCGTACCAGAACGGAGCCTATCGCCGACGCAGTTTTTTCTTCTCGACCCAAGGAGCTTGTGGAGTTTTGCCTTCTCGAAGTGGACTGAAGATGTGGACAGCGAGTGGATAGGGGGGGATCGCCGCCATGGAGAAGGTCTCGTGCCGTGGGGACTGCAAAGAGGTGTGGCGGCTGCGGCTGCGGCTGGAGATGGAGATGAGGGTGTCAGCGAGTGTGAGTGACGCGGAAGATGGATCGAAAGAGGGTCGAGGTTCGAGTCCAAGATAAAACCAAGCAAGTGAGCCGGTGAAAAGAGCAGGCATCTGGCCATCGTGTAAAACCGGAAGAGGGAGGTGGGGCCTGCCGCGATAGCGGAGCCCGAAGGAAGCTGGCCGCCGCCGGATCTGTCCGAACCTGGAAGTGTTGACAGAAACCTTTGTGCAACACTCTGCCTTCTCATTGGCCCCCGGTTCCTGATAAGGCCTATCTCTTGGCGTTCTTGGCTGCGGCCTGGGTCCCCTGCGCTCCTGGACCGGCAGGGGTCCTCCCGGTAATTAAGCTGTTAAGCTCTGGAGCCAAGAACAGGGTGCAGGATGGGCGTGGCCAGGGGGGGGTGTGGCCTGTGAAAACCTCTCGACGTCGTGCCTTCTTTTGTTCGCAAGTTCCGTCATCTGGGGTGCAGCACGCCGCTCGTTTCCACGAAAGAAATCCAGAATCGACGCCACAGAGCCTCCAGGAACACACGAACGAAGCTGGGGGAAGTCGTATTATATCCCATTACATCCAACTGGCGTCCCAATGTGTGACCCAGAACCACCCCAGGTCTCTGGAAGGATGTTCGGTTTGGCGGGGTCTCGACTTTGTGCGTGGGGGAATGTGTCTGGTCGGAGTTTGTGTTCCCATTGCTCAAGGTAATCGAACAACAGAGCATGCCGCACCGCCTCATCGGTACCAAGGCCACCTAAATCTCTCGTCATACCACCGCGTCAGACGAGAAGACATCCAGCTCGTTCGGGTTTCGGTCGACACTGAATTCGGCTTTATGTGCTGATTGAGAACGTTGTCGTGATATGGCTTGTCTCGATTCGGCTGCGTGTACTTTAGCCCAGAGGCACCAGTCTGCACGCCTGTGAGCAGGAAGATAACTCCCAGAGAGGAATGTCTTGGAGGATATTGACACCCTTTTATACAACCGCTTATCTGGGTCAGCTAGCCACATCGAGAGCGAGCTATCAGGCAACGGGTCCCTAGGAATTGCAAATGTTATAGTGATGCTGTGCACAGCGCCTGTGGCCAAGGGTGGTTCGGGGCTTCCCCGCAAAGGCTGGGCTCAGGGACGTTAATGATATCACCAGCTATGGGAGCTTCCAATGATGCATGCACGGAATGGAACTAGAAGCAAGCGGAGCAAGCACACGTGTACGCGGTACATGAGGTAGGACTTGAAAGATCGCGAAAGTCGGTTGACCAGCTCGGTGTTGCTGTGTCTCGTGTATTGTTTCTTGGCAGTCCGGAAGAAGAGGCCCTGAAACTCGACGAGATAACGAAACATCGGAACATTGGATGCGTGAAGATCCCAAGAGACGGGGGGATATGGGCTGCTGCTGCTCTGCCTGATCTACCCTCCGTTGTCGGGCGAGAGCGTTCGATCCCATAACGGGCATTGGCTGTCTAATTGACAGCGTCCCTGCATTCATTGGATACCTTTGAATACATTGAGCAGTTTCGGGTTTTTTTAAGGTTGTGTGAATTGCAGAATACGTACCTTTCAGGACCCAATCCCCACACGATGAACCGCACGCAAATCGTTAGACAACGGAAGTCAGTCCGCAAGTCAAAAAGAGTCGCAAAAAGAGAGACCTTGAACCTTCACAGGCTCAATTCCCCAATCCGCCGCCCCAGAATGGGTTCGGGACAGCGGAGGTACGGCAAGGCATGGAGAGGCCATGGAGGCATGCTGCATGCTGGTAGCGCAGCACCGCACATTCTCGGAGTCGGGCCCTTGTCCCCCTCGTACTACATCTACATTATCATTGGCTGAGTTGAGACGACAACCCCCACTTGTAAGCGTCGCGGAAGCAAGCTCTACCTTGCCAGGAACGAAGTTCTTTTACGATTTCAAACGAACTCCCGAACTCCCTATCAGTGGATTGTGTATCAAGATTGTCTGCAAATCACGGCCGAAAGATAAGGTAAAATCATGGGATCGCTCAATCTTTTCAAACCACGGAGCGCACATGTTGAGAATTCGAAATGAAAATGTCGATCAGCTAAAGTCTTGCGCTGATGGATATTCAATTGTAGATACTATCAAGCCATCGTAAGTAAATGCAAGGCAAAGGGATCGCTTCTGCATACTGAAGAGATAAGGTACAATGCAAGTTCATTAAGCACGCCGACGGCCGTCCATGCGACATGCCAAAACTGACAGGCTGTACCCTCTCCGCCCACGCGTGCACTGAATAAAAAAACAACCTTGGTAGTAGAAACACAGGTAAGTGAGTGTGGAACGCTTTGTGAATCAGCCAATCTTCTTTTCGGTCCACGCCTGAGGAGAGTTTAGCCACCTGGGTTGAAGCCCTCCACATGTTCAAAACCTACACATATTACACCACGTCGACGTGTGTGCACAATTTTTCGTGTCCGCTTTTTGCCTCAAGAGATAACGTCCCGTCCGAAGTTAAAGTTTGGCGGTGCCTGTGTCATCTGATGGTTGCTTTTGAGGCTTTCCCGGTAGCCGACCACGACTGTGTAATTGATAGCCTTCTCCAATCCCGTTTTCGGCCCCCTTTCTGGCGTCCCATACAGCACACGAGCTTGTCGCAAACAAAGGCATTGGCAAGCAAAGATATCCTAGGTTCGCGAACGGTATCTCGCCACATTTTTAATCCCATCCATGCAAAAAGAGTGGGAGTGGGAAGAGAGGAGCAGGGGATTACCCACACCACAAATCGAGGGACAGCCGCGGATTGGCGAAACCAGCCATGGCAACCATTACGGCTCCCACTAGCTGTTTGGGGCGGCGTGGGCAATTGTCTGGCATGGAACCCCCATCCCACGTACTGCGTACACGGACAGGTACCTTATCCCAAGTGGTCGAGGTTACCGACGGGTCGC